TAAAAGAGTCATTCCAGAGTCTGCAGAGCAGGGCTGCTATTGCCTGTGCTGAGCATGCCCACAGGAGTAAATGGGGAAGGTGGGCAGCAGAAGGCAGGGAATCTCTGGCTTGGCTCTGGAGTTGCCTGATTACTCAGTCTCCAAGAGCAGATGGATTCCGAGTGCTCAGGTCAGTAGGATGTGGGCATCCAAATTCAAATAAAGGGAAGCCAGACGTGGTAGCATCTACCTGTAATCCCAGACTGGGGGGGGGGGGGGGGTTAGTTTTAGGTTTAGGGTTAGTTTTAAGGTTAGGGTTTAGGGTTAGTGTTAGGGTTAGGGTTAGGGAGGGGGGGGGGGGGGGGTGGGGGGTGGGGGGGGGGGGGGGGGCGGAGGGGGGGGGGGGGGGGCAGGAAGATGGTAAAGTCAAGACCATCCTGGCTCTATAGTGAGATCTTGTCTCAAAAACAAAAACAATAGAAAAAAAGCAGGCTTCCTGGCATGTGCTTGTAATCCCAAAAGTTGGAAAGTGGAATCAGGAAGATGATAAATCCAAGGTCATTCTCAGCTCCACGTCCAATTTGAGACTACCCTGAGTCAAAACCATGAAACACAGGAGGAAAAGAGGGCCAAACTGAGTCCTGAGATATACATAGATCAGAAAGTTGAAAAACTTGAAATTGACAGTGGAGGAAGGAAAGATGAGGTAGAATAATCAAGATAATAACCAGTGTACTAGACTCCAGGGAACAGTCAATGAAATGTAAAGCCCTTCCTTCCAATGTATTCATTCACCTATCAACAAACACTGAGCATTTATTACGTGCCAGACACTGTGGAAATAAAGATGATCTGTGTTCTTATGGAGGCTGCAGTCCAAAGAAGACAGCAATGGCCAGCGCCGTAAGCACTTGTTCCCAATAAAGTACAGCATGTTTTGGACTAATGCACTAGGGGCAACTAATCAGTCTTGGAGAGTCAGGGCAGACTTCCCTAGGAATCATGTAAAATGAAAGCCTGAAGGGCTAAGTGGAAACCAGATAAAGGTGGCAATGACGAACCTGTGGGGAGCCAGGCAAGGTGAAAGACACCTGTGAGGACCTGAAGGAAATGCCTTGCCTGCCCCACGATCCACAAGTTCAATTATCGGAACTATAGAAATAGGTGAGAAAGGAGAAGGGTGGCCTGGACCACTGAAGTCGCTAAAGACTAAGCTCTGGGAGAAGAAAGGGACAGCTGGGCTACTGGAACCTCCTGGAGAAACCAGTTTCTGTGGCTCAGGAGAAAGTGACCCCAACGGCGGTGGCAATCTAGAGTGGAGACTTGACAGAACTTTAGAGAAGATAATCAAGACTAACCACCGAGTTTTTAACTGAGACAAGTAAATAGACTAAGAGAGCAAGCAGCAGGCAGACAGAAGGCGGGTGGCCGGGCTAAACCTGTGGAGTTCCTGAAACACTGCTCAGAACTCAGCAAAACGGTTATGGAGGTCTACAGGGCAACCATAAAATCTGGGATGGGGTTATATACTGGGAATCACTTATATAGAGATTAAAGCTACAGGAAAACATGAAGCCTGGGAAAGAAAGCAAAGGATAAAAGACTAGAAACAGACTAGCTAGGGCTTAATCCAATATGAAATGGGCAAACAGTAAAAGGATCTTATGGAAAAAGAGGAGGAGGAAGAGGAAGAAAAAGAAAAAACATAACAAACCCAAGATGGAGCAAGGGAACCTGGGATAAAAAAAACAAGCACTACTATAGAAGACAGCCAAGGCAAGACTTCACACAGCCTCCCACTCAGAAAAAGCTCACTATCATAGTGTTTACACTACTGCATTATCCACAAGCAAATAATTTTCATCAGCCACAAATACATTACACTTACAGGAAAATCTCAGCCAAAGTTTAAAAAATAAAAGCAAGACACAGCGTGAACTAATGAAATTAGCAATAACAATTAAGTTTTTAACAATGAACTTGCTAAAATTTTCATTACTGTAGAATACTAGGTATTATAGACTAAAAGGTGAAGTTAGTGTTTAAAATAGAGGAAAGGGGGGAAAAAAATCAATGCAACTTTTCAGTTTTCTGGCTAAAAAACAAACTAAACCTTGAAGACTAAAACTAAATAATCTGAAAAGGGAATGATCTTATCACAATATTTAAAGGTGTCTATACAAAACAAAATAGCAAGCTAAACTTACACACACACATACACACCATAGTTCAAGTTGATTAAAACCATTACTAAATAACTTATCTTTAAAGCCCACCCTGCTGGCTCTTGCCTAGGATCCCACTGCTTGGAAAGTTGATGTAAGATTGCTTTGAGTTTGAGACCAGCCAGGACTACATGGCAGGGCCTATAAGAAGGGAGGGAAGGGGACTCAAAGGGGAAAGGGGGAAGCACAGAGGAAGCTTGTGTACTACGGTATAGAACACTATCTATATGATCCTCACTGTAACACCAAGACACTTTCTGAACTGTCAGAATTCCTTACGTTATGGGAACAATTGGTTATCTGCATTTTGGTCTTCCAATATATTCTTGAGGAAGGGTGCCTAAATTAATATACTTATCAACACAAGTGGATTATATTGTTTAATAGGAACATGAAATCTCTGTTTTATGCAAAGCAACTGACCTTATCCACTGAACATGGAACGTTATAATTAGATATGGCATGAAAGAAATGCCAATTAAATTACCAAATTGGTTTCTTCTGTCTCACACTGTTAGACATTTTGGTAATTTAACAAACAGCATTACTACCAAGACATACGCATTGTTTCCTGGATAGTTAAGAATATACATCAATTTACTACTCAAACACATTCAGGAATATAGTTGCTGTTTCTCCTTTTTCTTCTTTTTCCCTTTTAATTGAAGAACGATGGTATTACAGAATAGAGTACTGCCAATAAAACTAAAGACAAGTATTAAGTGCAGTGTTCAATGATGAATATTTATCAAACCAAACTATGACAACTCCCTTTCTAGTATTCAGTAATATTCCCAAGCTGTAACCAGCATCTGAGAGAAACCCACACCCAGCTAACTGCAGGCAGTAAAACCACACTTCCCTCACCTCCTACCTGCCGGTTTGAAAATGCTTTCTTGAAGCACAAAGAATCTAAGACTATTCTTAAAAAAACCAAAACAAATTAATTTAATACCAAATTCAAGTTAGCAATTTAATTTAATACCAAATTTAAATTAGCAAAATACAGACAATGTTGTGTCATTATACCCAACTAGAAACTATAGCCACACAACCAAAAAAAATGCCCAAATGAAAACGGATTTTGCAGCCCTCAAAAATACATATATACATACATGTGTGTATACATATGCATATATACATGTATATATATGTACACACACATACACACACACACACTGCCACTGTCAATAAAAGCCAGTATGCAACTAACTGAAGTGCATACTGCTTTACAGACAAGTACAAGGTGTGTCTAAGTTCTTGGTTTGAGAGCAACCCTTAAACAATAACAACAACACACACATATGTATATTATCAAATAAACGTTAGTTCTAGAAAACACAATGCAAGAGCATGCTAATTCAAGTGTTCACAAGACAATGACAAATAAGGCTTTAGGACCACAGCATATATCATTATGTAACTACAATGCCCATTAAGCAATCACCAGGTTGTAGGTAGGTCTTCCAAAAGGTGTCATTATGGTTTACTGCGATCAGAGGATTGTGGTGTCAGACTTAATCATGCTTAACCTGCAAGCAGGTGTTTACCGATATCAAAAAGCAGAATACCTGTTCTAGACATAAACCTGAGACTGTGCCCAATAAACTGCGTGCTAACACACAGAATGTCCCCTCTGCACAAACTTTCTACTCCCACACGAAGTAATCTGTTTGACGCATGCCTTCTGCATGCTTTCTGAACCAAAACTGAACTGACTAAATGCTTAGAAGGAGTCTTGTCCCGAAGACCAAGATGTGGAAACTGACAATAGAGGCAAAAGAAACAGTGAGCTAGTGAGGAATCACTGGAGATGATGCTATTGTCACCACTGACATCTCAATAAAGACACAGGCACCTCAAAAATCAGGTGTAAAGAGTAACAAACAAATCACAGAAACTATACAAAACGAAGCACAATAGATCCATCATAGAATAAACTCCACATACACCAACTCAAATACAAGGAGGATAAAGGCAGATGAAGACAGGAGGTCATGCAGATGCCATAACTGAATAGATATTCTACAAATTCTGTGCGGCTGGCTGAAAAAAAAAAAAACAGAAAAGAAAAGAAGGAGAAAGAGAAAGAGAGAAAGGAAAAAATGGAAAAGCTGGCGTCAGTGCTTCCCAGCCAGCTGTTCTCTGAACTTCAGGTCAAGCCACCTGACACCCGGAGCAGCCTGAGAACTACGGAGCAGTATAAGGTCTCAGAGAGCAGAAATAAAATAGAGCAAAGCCAGGATTTTCAGGAGCTTGGAATTTCAACACTACAGGCGTTTTCCAGGACTGAGCTCAAAACTGTCGGTGGGAAGACTCGATTCCCACCCAAAGCTGCTATGGGCACGGCTAGCAGGCAGGATCCCCTCCCATCAGTCAAAAACATTGGCTTCCAGGTGCAGCAAAGCTCAGCAGCTGCCCTCTCCGCTGGGGCTGTAGCACACACAAGAGTTACATAAAGCCGTCCCCAAGCAGTTCCATCTCCAAACACTGACGGGAACATGGATGCTGAACCGTCTGTTCTCAGGCTTCTCAGCCTTCGTGGATGGAAGAATGCCTCTGGCCCAAAGGGTAACCAAGATGTGGGCATTTAAAACAGAGACTCGTTCCTGCTAATTAATCACTGAAGTCGCTAGAAACAAAAATAGGCCAGGTTTCACGTCCCTCCTGGTCAACTGGGACACTGACACCAAGCAGCTGAACGCCCCAAGAATCCCCCTCGGGAGTCCCAGCGGCAGGCGACCCCACTCTCTTAGGACGCTCACAGACGAGCCACCGCCCAGCTAGCTGGCTTACCTCACAGGCAGAGGCGGCCCCACAGGCCTTGAGTTTGTCACCATCTCCCTCCGGCAGACCAGTCCAATGTGTGGCCATCATTTCATTTCAAACTGTAAAGGGACAAATTCTTTGGAGTCCACATTGAAGAGGAGCCACCACACACCAAAAGGGGGCCAATTCCACAGCAGGTTTCTGAGGTGAAGCAGGGAAGGAACTGGTCCAACAACGAGCGATAAGAAAGATTTGCAGGAAGCCCCTTCAAACGCCCTCTTCAAGAGAATTCGCCCTCTTCATTGCTCCAGACAGAGTCCAGGGGCGACAGGTTTCCTTGGCAGGGCGGGTGGACGCCAAGGGCAGAGAGAAGTCTACTTCCAAGCGGTGCTACTCGAAGGCAGACAAAAATCCTAGTGGGCTGCTCTGGCGTCGGCTTTCGGGGATCCTTCCTAGAACAGGGAGAAGTTAATGAAGGATGTGAACTTTCCCCAGGCGCCGATCTTTAGCCTTAGCCACAAGTCCAGACCAAGTTCCCCCTCTCCCAGATCCGATGGATTACTCAGTCCATGAAGGTGAACCACGCAAAGGAAAGAAACAGTTCTCGCATGCCACAAATTAGAGAGAGAGAAGCCTGAACACCGGGAAAAGAACGAGAGAGCAAGACCTCAGAACTGCCCTTGTGGCTGTGTCAAGCACACCCGGCTGCTATGAAGCCTTCATGAATTAAAAAAAAAAAATTCCCGGTTCAAGTGTATTTTAATTGCTGCATTTCCTGGGCAGTGTCGAGGCAGTGTGCGCGTTCTGCAGCACCCGGATACCTACTCTTAAGCGAAGTTTGCTCCGCACCGGGTTAGACTCGCAGACGCCCTCCAACTCCCTAACAAACAAACAAAAAGCCAGCTCCGAGCCGGGCGGGCGTGGGCTCGGCGGCGTCTGCGGCGGCCGCCGGGGCCGCGGGTGACTCGGACCGCCCGTGGCAGCCTGCCCTGCGCCCCGGCCCGCGCCCCCGAGGAGGCGGCTGTTTTCCTTGGCCCGCGGCGGGGCTGGGTGGGGAGGCGTGCGGCCGCGGCTGAGACGCGGCGCCGCTCCCGCTCGGGCTCCCGGGCATGCTTCGGGAGAGCCGCGGCCCCGGCAACTCGTAGGTCGGCGCTGCGCCCCCCACCCCCACCCCGATCCCCGCTTGCCCTCCCGGGTGGCCACCTGAGGAAGAGGGAAAAGCGCAAAGCAAACCACCCACCTACCACTATTTCCTCCGCCCCTTCCTGAGGCGGGTCGCCGGCGCGGGCTCCCGGGAAGCGCGGCCCGGGCGCGTGCGGGTAGCGAGGGCTCCGCTCGGCGGCTCGGCCCGCGGCGGGGCGCGCTAGGCCGCGGCTCGGTTAATATTCATGAGGCGCCGCCCCTCCTCCGCGGCCCGCCGGACCCCGGCGCCCGCCGCCCGCCTTTGTGCCCCGGCCTCGTTCGCTCGCTGCTCACACGCGGGCGCGGCCTCCGCGGGCCCGCGCTTGAGCCCCGGGCGGTGAGAGAGACGGCCACGCAACGGAGGACGCGGGCGAGGGGGTCCGCTCGCAGGCAGCGCCACGACCTGCCCCGGCCGGCCCCGGGCTCTCGGCGCCGCGGGAGGGCGTGGGGCGGGGCGGTGGCCGCCGGACTCTCCCCTCGCCTGGCCGGGCCGGCCGGGGCCCCCGCTCCCGCGATCGCCGAGCGCGAGACTGTCCCGGCCGGCGGGCACGCGAGCTGCTTCCCGGGGGCGGACTGCTCGCGCCTTCCTTCTGGAGCCACCTCCTTCCACCCCACCTCCTTCCCCTCCCCTCCCGGGGGACGCCCGGGGACGAGGAGTTTTCGGTCTGCAGTCACCCGGCCCGGGGAGTCAAGCTGGAGAAGGAAGATGGGCCAGGACAGGGTGGTACTCGCCAGGCCCCCCGAAACTTGGACGCGCGCGGTCCCTCTCGTCCCCGCGCCCCGATTCGGGCTCACAACCCCAGATGCTTCCCGAGCGCCGCTCCAAGAGCAGGCACAGCCCTGCAGCTGCCTGCGGGACCGAGTGCCCGGGACCGCGGGGACACAGGTCTTGGGCGCCGGCGGCCCCTTTTCTGCAGCGGGTGGGGCTAGAGACTACGGGACGTGGGGCTTCCAGATAAGGGAGTGTCCCTGTCCGCCCCACTGCAAGGTAGCTTCCTGCGGTAAGCAGGGACAGGGTGGTGGCGGCTACGAGTCGTTTAGATTTTTTGTGGTTGCTTTTTTTTCTTTTTTAGCCAGCGGAGCAGCAGAGCGAATAGGCGCGGCTAGCGGAACCGAGCAGCGACAGCGGCTGGGCCGTCCCCATAGTCCCCGTCCCAGGGACCCAGCCGGCGGCCGCTGCTCCACACGGCACTCCCGGGCCAGCACTCAGACCCTAACGGCTAGCTCCGCCCTGCTGCGTCTCACAACATCTCCCGCTGCAAACCGCCCAATCCGGGGACGCTGCGAGAGAATGTGAGCCAATCAGAGGCTACCGGCTCGGGCCTTTTGCCCCGCCCCTCAGCCTCCCCTTTCCACCCCCACCCCTTCTTGGGAGGTGGCTCACCAACTCTGATCCTTGAAGGAGCACCTAGCTGCGACCGTAGCACTTGGCGCCTTGTCACCGCAGTCCTCTCCTCTTAAGCACACCCCTTCTCCCGGTCTCTGTCCTCCCGGTGATGCTGTTGAGGGGCATTTTGATCCTCTTTTTGGCAGAGCACTGCCAGCTTTTGTGTCTGATCATTTGTCACCACCATCCTGAGAGAACAGAACAAAAACAAGACGACACTGTGGGACGTGCTACCTTTTTCTTCTTTGCTGCAATTATCTTCTGAAGACTCCTCCCCGTTCCACACCCACTGCCTAGGGTCCTGTTTCTTTTCCAGGTTTAAAGCACTCTCTGAAACTTGTAGAGAAGAACCTGAACCTTAGTTTATAGTTCCTTACAATGAAAGAATTCACAACCAAACCTTCACACTTAGAGGACGGAAATTAACTAGACCATTTTCAGTAACCCTGAGAGATGCCGGGTCTGACGGCTCCGGACCAGAATAGTTAACCAATAGCCAAGAATGAAAAAGGAAAGACAGAAGGGAGGGAGAGAGGGAGGGAGGGAGGGAGGGAAGGAGGGAGGGAAGGAAGGGATAAGATAGAAGAGGAAGCCTACTGCTCAGTAATTTACTCCGGAGGAGTCCAGATCTTCTATAGATCTTCTATAGCAGATCTAGTTCTACCCTGTTATTGGCTAAATCAACAAAAACTGAAAAGAAATCCAACGTTTAAGTGGTTTGTCTCTAGTGTGCTTAGAAAATAAGAGGAGATAAAAGTTCACATCCTCTGCTTACAGATGCAAATGCGCATGCCTGGCATAACTGAGGGCCTAACAAAAGAGGCTATCTAGAAGGTTTCGCAGTAGATCTTTACAAAGGTGGGTTTGGGGAAAAGGGTTTCCATTTGGTACTAGAGAATAAAAGGTTAGCCGTGAAAGGAAATAAATTTCATTATGGGATTATGGGGAAGTAACATACCCTACGAATGCAAAATTTCTGCCAAAGAAAGTAACATTGGGAGAACCAAGATTATATCCAGGGGCCAGAGAGAGGAATGACTCAGCAGTTAAGACGAGTTAGGCTCCTAGCACCTACACCAGACAGCTCTCAGCCGCCTGGAACTCCAGTTCGAGGTACACAACCCCTCCCGTCTCTGGAGCAACACACACATATACATGATTTAAAAATAAAATCTTTTTAAAATGTTACATTCTATCTTTATTTTTCATGTAACTTGAGGCAAATTCTTCTTTGTGTGTAAATACCAGAGCTATCAAGGAACAACAGCAGCCAACATCTCTTTAGCCCTGTCCCCTGTTGGTGCTGCTCTGAGAGCTTCATGTCCATCGTAAGGAGACTGCTATGTCGGAGGCAGGACTCAAACCCAGAGTCTGGTTCCAGAATTCGCTCTTTTTTTATATAGCTCTATACTCCCTCAAACAGCCTTTACGACAATAATAACCATATTAGCTAACATTTAGCATACTATGTGCTAATTTTTGTGGTCTGTAAGTACCAATTTAATCCTATTCCTTGGACGCCCAGGTATGATCATGATGTCCCAAAAACGTGGGAATGCTTTTCATAACTATATGAGCTGCATCATGTGTGGCTTGTGCATGTCAGACTTACTGGATGGAGAAGACTATGTGGCTAGGATTTGGGAAACATGTCTCTGGTCCCACTACTAGAATCTGTGAGTATAAATAACAGTATTTTTCATATTTTGTTGAGTTGAGAACATCAGGTGAAATCACAGCTGTAAAGGGACTTTGCAAATATAAAAACATTATGTCGGCTATTAAACTATTAAAGTATGCTGGGCGGTGGGAGCTCATGCCTTTAATCCCAGCACTTGGGAGGAAGAGGCAAGTGGATCTCTGTGAGTTTGAGGTCAGCCTGGTCTACAGAGCTAGTTCAAGGACAGCCAGGGCTGTTCAGAGAAATCCCGTCTCAAAAAAAAAAAAAAAAAAAAATTACCACATCGTTGCGTATTAACTATTAAACCACGAAGCTACTGTGAAGCAAGACTTTGTCTTGTGTCCTCAACGGGACTTCACTCTTTCAGTGACCCTTACTAGGAACACATTAGCCAGTTGAGAGTTATGTCCGTTCCTGTCTGAAGATGTGAGCAATAGTAATCTCAGAATAAGTGATTCTGCTCTCATTTAGCTTCCTTCTGTATAAGGAAAGGGCACGGGCACCCTTGGCTCATCTGGAAAGCAGCAGCCCACAGCCAGTCCCTCACTAGGCTCCACCGGCTAACAGAATAAATAAGGGGTTCAGGATGCAGCCCTTGGAATTCTCAGCTGCTCATATAGGTGTTTGAACTCATTAACACCTCCACCAGAGGGAGGGCAAGGGAAAGGAAAATGAGCCAAACTTCAATCATGTGGCACCTGTTAAAGGCTCTCGTGACAGAGTGGGTGAACCGATGTTGGGGGTCACTATAACTGAGGACACTGAAACAAACTGTGGGTCTCCTGGATGTCATGGTTGATACCTGGACCCTTGTTGATAGCTTTGCTCTCTTGAAAGACCCATCTTTTCCTGCCTGCAGCATGTCTAATGTGTGATTTCCTATCGTCAAACTTGAAAGAGTTTCATAAATTACTATGTTGACTACTAGAAGGTCAACTCATAAACTATAATTCTTGCAGTGCAAATAAGTTTTTTTTTTTTTTTTTAAGATGGCAACTATATCCTCAAAATGTAAGTTTTGGTATGTGGATGGCATAATAATACTGTTTGGTGAACCATTATCAAGGAAAAATGTCAAAGCCAGAAATAGAACCACAGTGTTCTGGCCTGGTCTGGTCTGAGGTCATTCTGTGACAATCTATGGATGATTTCCACTCTCAATACAGAAGCTGCCAAGTCTAAGAGGCACAAGTGTTTGCCAGAGAATTCCACAAGTGAAATTTGTAATTCAGTATGAAGCACTTGCAAAATTATGTGTCTGAGATATTTGAGACCAAATGCCATCAGACGAGCAACTTCCCTTCAGTGAGGAAACACTGTGAGCTTTATTTCTTATTCATACAACTTCAGAAAGGAACTGATACCTACCAACATTTCTTTGAAATGACACTTTCATGTTGAATAGCTAGAGATATCTCCCCTCACTCACAAGGCATTTAACTGTTGTATTCAAGAGATAGGAGTGATTCTCCAAGGCAAGGAAGTCCTAGGGTCCTCCATCACATCCAACCCTTCCAAACAAATACTGTAAATTATTTACTAATTTAATGTTCTATATTTGCTAGATACATTATTTCTTATTCATACTGTATATGATCTAGGTTTTACCATTAATTTCTGAACATGAAGATAATAATCTTTAGTTTCTTATATACAGTGACTAGCAAACTGTTAAATACTAATTTTGGATAATTTCTTTGCTCTCAGCTTATTTTTTTTCCTAATCCTGTAATAGAATACTAGTATTCATTTTGAGACTTTAATTCACATCTTCAGTCCACACAAATCGGTACTCAATTACTCAACAAATAAATAATCAAGGTGATATTGTTATGATTGTTATTATTTGTGGTTCTAAAGTTTGAACCCATGACCTCACACACACTAAGCAAGTGTTCTACCACTGAGTCTGTATCACTGTTACTGATAAACCGTTTTATCTCAAATTCCTAGCTGACCTCTAACTATCCAGATCACAGTGCTATGGCTGAAGAGAATAAATTCAAAGATGTATCCATAAAGAGAATAAAGACCACGTGCCTCAAGCTCCACCCTTGGCAGGTTTTCGCTCTTTACCTAACTCCATCTCTGATGACTGACTCTTTCGGCTCACAACACCATCCTAAAAACTAGTATCACTTGCATTTGGGAGGCAATAAATTTGATTGGTATAAAATCTCAACTCACAGCTTATCCGGAATCATATATCCACCATTTCCTTCTGGATTCAAACTATTTTTCAGCAGTCAAATTTGTGTTATTCCAATGTAGTGTGACAGTGACTCAGCATCATTAAGGTATTTTTTCTGCATTTTAAGAATAATGGGACTAAATACATTGATGCACAGCTCTTCTTTCGTCCTAGGAATCGTGACTTTCATTTAGAAATGTTCTATTTTTAAAAATATGAGACCAGTTTTTCTAACCACCCACTCGCCTAAGTCTGAGCTGGAACATGCTGTGCAAGCACTGCAGTCTGGGTGGAAACCCACGTTACAGTAGACGTGAACTGGGTTTTATCAGCTCTGAAGAGAGGGCTGCATTCCAGCTATTCTGTTCTAACGAGGAGACTGCCAGCAGTTGATTTTGAATATGGTAGGCCCAATCCGGAGTAACCCAAACTTTTCATCATAGTAAAAAGGAAAGACATTTTTTTTTTCCCTAGCAGTTCCTTTTGCCATCACTGGGCAGGATTAGGAAAGATTCCAAGGCTGTTCCATTCCTGGCATCAGTGAAACTCTGGTTGCCTTTCCATACTCCTTAGCCCCATAGATCAGGTTCCCTTATTCCTAAATCACCTGCATTCCTTACTAATCCAAAAGTCAACTAACTAAAGATTCTTCCTTCAGATAGAAAAACATTATAGAAAAATATATGGCGATTCACTTGTGGGTTCAAGAATTATAGATTGAGGCTTGCATAACTTTACCCTAAAGATTATTTTGATTATATATAAGTATAAAATTGTTTTGTTTTCTTTGCACAAGAGAGACAAAGTCAATAGCTGTAGACCAGGCTGGCCTCAAACTAACAGAGATCCACCTGCCTTTGCCTCCCAAGTGCTGGGATTAAAGGCATAAACCAACATACCCAGTTTAATTATATTTTAATTTCTAAAAGATTCACAACACACACATACAAATAAACAGTCAGGCTCTGCAGAGCTGACTTCATATCATACTTTACAAATCTATCCTCTGGCGTCTTCCCAAAGCTTTTACTGGTTGAATCCAACAAAAATCCTGAGACTCTCAGAGATACTTCATCTACTCTGAGGTCTATTTATATACAAACAGAAAAGATAGCGTGTGAGTCCTTGTAAAAGGTGAATGGGGACACAGACGTGCTGGCCTTTAATCCCAGTACTAAGGGAGATTTAGACACTTTAAGATTAAGATGAGTCCAAGGCCAACCTGGATGGCTTCTTTGAGTTCCAGGCCTACCTGAGCTACTTTTTTTTTTTTTTTCAATTGATGGAAACATTTTACATTGTCATTGTGGGGAAGAAGGCAAAATAAAGGAGCATGCAGTTTCCTTTTCCTGGCTGCCTGAGGATCTCCTATCATCTACGGTAACTGTCTAGATAGAGGGGTTTGTGATCAGTCTCTTCAAAGGACGCAAATGATCATCAGTGTCTTTCACTCTGAGAAGATAATGGTTCCAACAACAAACATTGCAGGGGAACTATCCAAAATGCACAAGACTATACCAAATGACATTTTCGCACTGATTCAGAACTCCTTTCAGTGGTAGCAAAACAAGTGGCCTTAGTTTTGGTGATTCTTTGGATTGCACAAAGAAAACTGAGCCTAGACCAGGTGGTGGTGG